TTTAGTATTTTTATGGGCATTATTGACGAAAAAGTGGATAGAAACACACCAATATATTGCCCATATTTAGTTGATACCTGTTCCTTTGTGCTTTGATTGCAAATTTTTAGCAAATGGGTACAGGAGCAAAAATGAAGGTAAGGTAAGGTAAAACAATAAAAACAATATTAATATTTGTCTGCAAGAGCTTAGGTCTCGGTATATTACCTAAGATATTTAAACTTGTTCCAGATGCCATGAAACTACTGTGTTCCTGGGTGCAAATCGAACTATTAGGAGTTCCTTAAAAACTGAAGAAATGCAAACATTTTTATTTCCAAAAAAATTCTGAAGTGCAAAAAATGTGGATGAAAGCAATACACCAAGATAATTATACCCGAGATTATACAATAACGAAAAATTCTGTGGTGTGTTGTAAACATTTTGAAGAAACCCAAATAATTAGATTTGAAACAAACAAGCATAAAGGCGTAGTTCGAGAGTTCAAACTAAAACGTCCAACTCTTAAAAGTAGGTACCTCTTATTTTCGAAAATCAGCTCAAGTATTTGAATGGACTTGCCTTCCGAAAAAATCCCGAAGAAAGAAAAAGTTAGATTTTCAAAAGACATACTGAAACATAGGCCTATAACACTTTAGACTCTAGAAATATATTCATTTAAATCAATTATTTACTGTTCTTATTTACACAAATAGTTAAATTATTCATTGAATTACTGTTTTTGGCCCTTTAGTACAATAAATTATGTATTTTTTGTGATTCATATTAATAAAATAAAAAATATATATTTATGCAAACAAACACCACCAGCACCACTTGACGGTAAGATTGCGGTGTTGCCTTTTTAACTTCATGGCTTGTTAAATGTAGGGGGCTGTGGACCGGGTCAACGGTTTCCTAAAGAAAGAAAATTGAAATATAGGCACCGTACCAACTAATGCCGTTTTAGCAGTAGGTGTAAATCAAGAATACAAAGCGAAAAAGGCAATTCTTAAGAAATACAGGCATTTGCTTCCTAGAAACAGGCAAAAGGGGACCATAGGAGAGTTAGCGATAACAAAACATGGGAAACAATCGGCAATTTTTCTATTTACAAGAAAATCCATGAGAGAAAAGCCAACTACAAGAAATATACAAGGTGTCCACTTAGTGCGATATCGGAGGATATCTCTTTACAGGGTGATGCAAGAAAAAAAAATTAAATTACAAAGTTGTTTGATACTCTAATATTCATTAGTGAAAAATATTTTTGAATATACAGGGTGCTCCGTTTATAGGGTATGCGACAGAACTTTGTTATTTTGAATGGAACACCCTGTATCTGATTGCTTATTTGGATTCTACGTGAAATTCTGAGCAGATTTCATGTGATATGCCCTATACTTAGGTTCAACTGTTTTGGAAATGTTGACAGTTGAAAATTGACTTTTTGCAACTTTGACAGGCTGTAAAACCTAAACGGTTAATTTTAGAGGAAAACTGATTTCACATTCCTATCTTAGATTTTCATAAACTATCATTTGACACCAACTTTGAATTTAACCGGGGATTAAATTTAACTGTTTTTTTTTTAACCATGGATTAAATTCAGAGTTTGTGTCTAATGATAGTTTATAAAAATCTAAGACAGGAATGTAAAATCGGTTTTCGTCTAAAATTAACCGTTTAGGTTTTACAGCCTGTCAAAGTTGCAAAAAGTCAATTTTCAACTGTCAATATTTCCAAAACAGTTGAACTTCTACTACGTCACAACTGGTGATTTAGCTTTAGATTTGTTCTACGCAGGTCTTATGAGGATAGGGCTATCCTGTAGTAGTAGTGTGTATTATCCTTGCACATTAGCCGTGTTCGGCACATTTCACTGGTTCGGCATTGTCATCTTTTTCGTCGGTTCGCTCCGAAATTTTGACAGGCACGTGACTTAAGTCGCTTTCCAGCTGACGCTTTTGAGCACGCAATCGAGCTTTTGCGCGCGCAAATGCTTCAAGCGCGCGTTCGTGTTCCAGCCGTACTGCGCTTCGAGAGCTGATAACTTTTGCGTTTCAAACACAGAACACTGTGCTGCATCGTGCTTGAAGCACACTGCTGGAAAGCGGCTTTGATCAGACAGTTTCAATTTACAAATCTCGTGCCTGTCAAAATATCGGAGCAAATCGTCGAAAAAAATGACAATGCCGAACACGGCTATAGTATACAGAATGCTGAACACGAAGCTGCTCTGAAAGCTGTACAGGCGTTGAAAGACGATAAATATGCATATGCCGTCTCGAAAAAGGCGAGTTTTTAATAGGCAATTTTTCGCGAGGATAATCAATCATAATCTGATTATGCTGGGTTATGTGATGTGTCAATTGTGTCATACTCCCCTAACTCCCTCCCCATCAAATTTTGGGCCTGCGAGTGACGTCACTATCAGCAGCTTATAGTGATGGCGTCACCCGCAGACCACGATGGAATGCTCGCGATACAGGCTGTGCTAGTGAGTTAATTCTTTCGTCAATTTCAAATGCAGAAAAGGTGATTTTCGGTTTGTTCTCACAGAAGAAATTAAGTGTTCTTGATCCTCAATTATCCCAGAATTTCATGGTAGGGGAGTATGACACAATTGACATCACATACTCCAGCATAAAGCCTAGTACTCATAACTGCGAAATTCGCTCTTTTTTGACATTGCTTCCACAATATGACGTTTTATGCGTAAATCAAACGTTAAATTGTCGAAGCAATATCAAAAAGAGCGAATTTCGCGGTTATGAGCACTAGGCTTTAAGATCGATTATCCTCGTGAAAAATTGCTTAACGTAAACTAATTTCTTCAATTTCCTCTTCCTCTGAACGTAGACATTTCATTATATAGCACAAATTTTGTATTGATTAATCATCCACACTTCAGACGATAATTGCAAAACAAACAAAAAACATTTAACCAAATCGCCGCTAACTTTAGTACGCGGAGGAGACTTAACACGTTCGCTGCCAGATAGATTTCGGTTGATCGGGTCCAAAATTCCAATGTTGAAAAACTATATTTTATCATCGGAATAGGTCTAAATAACATAAAATATTCATCCAAAGTAGTACCTAACCCATATTTTTGCAAAAAAATATCATATCATACCATACCATACCAAAGACTACCATATGTATGAATTTATTTTTTTTTGTTAAACCATGTCTGTGTGAAATTCTTATACATGTCCCGTAGGCCAGGCACTTCCATTAGCCTGTATTTACAACGAATATACTCGTACTTGACTTTGAACGACACGATGCAAAATACGAGTTATCTCGTAGCTGGTACCTGTAATAAGATTGTCTACTACGAGTTAACTCTTACTTGGCAGTGAACGTGTTAAAAAATAAATTTCCAAGTCGTTTCCGACATTTTAGACTAAATTGGGCCTTCCCATTAACAATTTTTCGGGATTTAGAAAAGTTTAAAATTTACAAATTAAATTTTTAAAATTTAAGTCCTTACTTAAAGCTATTAGCATTCCGTAGTCGAGTTCGGATTTACTTGTTTGAAAAAAACTTTTTTTTTTCAGATTTGTCTAGGAGAAGGTTTTAATTAGAAAAACCCACAATTAGGTGGTTCGAATTAAGATTTTTCGACAATTTTCTAGATAAATCAATGGAAACTGGTACTTGGTACTGTTTTGGATAAAAATAAGGAAGAGTTCCAAAAGGTTTGGTTGAATGTTGTGGAGGGCAACGAAAAAGATGAGTTGTTATGAAATTGGAAATGACGGCAACGTCGCGTATGGTGCTATTTAGTTATTGGGTTATGTGTTTCTGTGTGTTGCTTTCATTGTGTATTGTTGCAATTTAGTATTTTTATGGGCATTATTGACGAAAAAGTGGATAGAAACACACCAATATATTGCCCATATTTAGTTGATACCTGTTCCTTTGTGCTTTGATTGCAAATTTTTAGCAAATGGGTACAGGAGCAAAAATGAAGGTAAGGTAAGGTAAAACAATAAAAACAATATTAATATTTGTCTGCAAGAGCATAGGTCTCGATATATTACCTAAGATATTTAAACTTGTTCCAGATGCCATGAAACTACTGTGTTCCTGGGTGCAAATCGAACTATTAGGAGTTCCTTAAAAACTGAAGAAATGCAAACATTTTTATTTCCAAAAAAATTCTGAAGTGCAAAAAATGTGGATGAAAGCAATACACCAAGATAATTATACCCGAGATTATACAATAACGAAAAATTCTGTGGTGTGATGTAAACATTTTGAAGAAACCGAAATAATTAGATTTGAAACAAACAAGGATAAAGGCGTAGTTCGAGAGTTCAAACTAAAACGTTAAACTCTTAAAAGTAGGTACCTCTTATTTTCGAAAATCAGCTCAAGTATTTGAATGGACTTGCCTTCCGAAAAAATCCCGAAGAAAGAAAAAGTTAGATTTTCAAAAGACATACTGAAACATAGGCCTATAACACTTTAGACTCTAGAAATATATTCATTTAAATCAATTATTTACTGTTCTTATTTACACAAATAGTTAAATTATTCATTGAATTACTGTTTTTGGCCCTTTAGTACAATAAATTATGTATTTTTTGTGATTCATATTAATAAAATAAAAAATATATATTTATACAAACAAACACCACCAGCACCACTTGGCGGTAAGATTGCGGTGTTGCCTTTTTAACTTCATGGCTTGTTAAATGTAGGGGGCTGTGGTTGTGACGTTGTGAGTTTGGTCTAGGAAATACTTTTGATTGATAATTGTATATAAGTAATAATAAGCTATAACTTTTCTATAAAGTATAAAAACCTTACACGAATAATAATTGAGATTAAAGTAATTGGAGAAGTTACTCTATAGTTAGAGTGCCTATCGAGTACCCTAGAGTGCACGGAGTCGAACCAAGTTCATGATGACCTCAACATGCTACGTATTCTATCTAGATCAAATTTTAAATTTTACAACCCGTAACCTCTAAGAAATTGTGTTTGTTTATATACTGATATTAGGCTCGGGTACCCAAGGAGGATTTAAAAATAAGCATATTATAATCAATTAAATTTGTGTTAAAAGTTCATCAATAATTAATAAAGCCTGATAACAGGCTAATTTTAGATTATTACATTATTAAATTTGATTACACTACTATAGCACAGCCTTTACATGAATATGTTACTATTATCAAGTTTTCTATTTCTCTTCTGGGTCTACAAAACATATGGGGCATTCCCTAATTTTTATGCCCCTATACCTTCTGAAAACCCTAATTCTGATCCAGGACAACCTCTAATTTTAACTCCACTCTTAGAACAAAATAAGATCAAAGAAGCCCAAACTGCCTCAGAGGTGGTTTTTAATGGTTTCAAAAAACAACAAAGTTTTGCAGGTAAGCATCATTATTGGTACTTAATTATTTCATAGAAAAATTATAACAGGGCTTTTACAGGTTATTTCACTGTAGACAAAAAATATGACTCGAATATGTTTTTCTGGTATTTTCCTGCCCAAAGTGATCCCACGAATGCACCAGTAGTTCTATGGTTACAAGGCGGACCTGGTGCTACTAGTTTAATAGGGCTTTTCGCTGAGAATGGCCCATTTTCTGTTAAAAGCAAGCATGGTTTGAAACTAAGAAAATATTCTTGGACTAATAATCATAATGTTATTTATATTGATAACCCTGTTGGAACAGGATATAGTTTCACCAATGGAGGATATGCTCAAAATGAAACTAAAGTCGGTGAAGATTTATATGAAGCTTTAGTCCAATTTTTTACATTATTTCCTGATTTACAAAAAAATAACTTTTTTGTTTCTGGAGAATCATATGCTGGAAAATATGTCCCCGCTATTTCATATACAATCCACCAAAAAAATCCTAGTGCAAAACTGAAAATCAACTTGCAAGGTTTAACTATTGGAAATGGTCTCAGTGATCCAGAACATCAATTGAAATATGGAGCCTATTTGTACCAATTAGGACTTATTGATGCTAATGCAATGAAAATTGTCCAGGACTATGAATCACAAGGCGTCAAGTACATTCAAAACAAAGAATTTGAGAAGGCTTTTGAAATTTTTGACACCTTATTGAATGGGGACTTGAATAACCATACATCTTTCTTTAAAAATGTTACAGGATTTGAAAATTATTTTAATTATTTGTATAATGTGGACCCGCTAAATTCTGAACTACTATTTATGGGAAAATATATCCAAAGAGAGGATATAAGGGCAGCTATTCATGTAGGAAATGTTACGTTCAATGACATTACTAATGTTGTTGAAGAAAATTTGAAAAATGACGTTATGCAGAGTGTAGCGCCTTGGATTTCTGAACTATTGAATAACTACCGAGTATTAATTTACAATGGACAATTGGATATTATTGTGGCATATCCACTCACTGAAAATTATTTAAGTAATTTGAAATTTTCTGGTGCTGAACAATATGTGACCGCTCCAAGGTAAAAGTTTTTTTTTTTTTCAAAGTTTCAAATGCTTCAACAATTTATTTTTCAGATATCAATGGCATGTCGATGACGAATTGGCGGGCTTTGTAAGGCAGGCTGGAAATCTGACAGAAATTTTAGTAAGAAATGCTGGGCATATGGTTCCTACTGATCAGCCCAAGTGGGCATTGGACTTGATATCGAGGTTTACTAGTAATAAACCTTATCATACTAATACTCAATAGAGATTTTTTTTTTTGTTATAAACTTCTGAATCTCATCATTGTGAACAAAATAACTACCTGCCTGATAATTTTAATGAAATAGAATATTTTAAATTTTTATTAGTGTTTTTGATTTTAATTTGTGAACATTGTGGCAAACCTAAGGAAAGGCATTTTACATAAAAATTATGGTTCCACTTCCATATCAATTCCAATTACAAGCAGGGGCATTATACAGGGTGTCCCATAAGTCACAGTCCAAACTAAAAGGGGTGATAAGGAGGGAGGAGGTCATTGCCGACAAAAAAAAAAACCTATATGTTACAATACAATTCTTCACGGTTTTCAAGATATTCGAATTTTATTAATTTTACCAAACATGGTTACATTGGTTAAGAAAAGAAATTTGCAAGTAGAGTAGAAAAAAAAGTATCAGAGATTTTCAGACCAATGTGGCCTTAATAAAATAAGGATAAATCACAGTAGTTTTAACACATATGGGTCACCTTTTTTCATCTTTGCTTTCTAAATTATTATCATTTGAATTTTTGCTGTGAATTGAATGAAACAAAACTAAGAGAGAAAAAAACTCCCTTCAAAATCTTTAGTAAAAAGACAAAACTTCACATACTCATAAAAACTTAAAGACAGACATTCCTGCTCATAATTAGAAAAAAAAATCAATCATGGATTCTTTGGTTTTAACCATGTTAACCATGTTTGTTGAAATCAATGAAATTCGAATATCTTGAAAACCATGGAGAATTATATAGTTACATATAAGGTTTTTTTTTTGTCAGCAATGACCTCCTGTCTCACCCCTTTCAGTTTGGAGCGTGACTTCTGGGACACCCTGTACACATCATTTATAAATGAAACCAACGAACAGGCAAAACTTTTCGAAACACAGAAGATTTTATTATTGGCCTGCTCAAATTTTGTTGCTGACACATTCAAAACTCTTGAATTCTGAAAGCATATCGGATGTGGAAATTTTGTATTTGCTATCTAGTAATGCTTTTCATGAAGAAGTGCTGCATTAATTCAAGGGCAGAAGTCCACTCAAAACAATAATTTCGTGACTCAAACAACTATTTCGGGAACATCTGATGATGAGACTGAGCAAGAAGGAAGGGTAATAACGATTAAGGGGTCGAAATTATTTTTTCTCTGCAACTTGGAAAATTCATCAAACTTAAAAAATGTCTTCAGGAACAGCATAAAAGTAAAAAAGCAAGTTTTAGAAACTATTACCAATTAATTTAACAAGGAGCTTCAGGAGCATCATGGAACTATAGAAAATCATGTGAATAATATTTTTTGAGTTTTTGTGAGGTTTTGACTGCAAGCATAGCCCAGAGCCTGATATTCTCAAGAGGTTTTTGATGAGAGACCATCTGACAATGGTAGGCAGGAGATAGCAGTGTCAAGTGTGTCTCTGAGGTTAAATGTATATTGACTTTAATCAACCAACTAAATTGTCAAGGATTACCTACAATTACTACAGAAAAACAGGCTATTTTTGAAAGTCTTAGGCCAATTAGTATAGGTATGTACTGAACTCACATGCGAAAATATTCCCTATATTACTATTCTAAAGAATGTTCTGCAAAGCAAAATTATTTCTTGCCAGATGTAGATATCAATTGGTACAGGGTGGCCCATTTAAGAAGGGCCTATACCTTATCTCGAAATCTACAAGGGTTGTAGAAAAAAATTAAATACAAAAGTTGTTTCTAATGAAATTATCTTTATTTTTTTTCCATAGGTTTTGTTGTCAGTCTACTATATACAGGGTGGACAAATAATGGTTTAATTTTTTTTTTAATGGTACACCCTATATTTTAATAAACTTTTACATAGCTCTTTGAAAAACAAATCCGACGATAAACTGAACATGAGACTGTGATATACCGTTTCGAACTTATTAGCGATTATCTTCAGGATTCGTGGTAATTTTAAACAGTCTTTGTTACGTTACTCATAAACTTCCAAAACTTTTTTCTGCATGATATTTTTTATAAAATAATGCTATTCTTCAGACTATATTGAAATTTGAAATATTTGCTTAAAAAACGTAGTGTTGACATGTTTCGCAAAATGTTACGCTTTTAATTTTTTTTTAAATGGGACCTCATGTAAATTTTCGAATTTTTGAATACCTCTTCAAAAGACAAATTGATGAAAAATCATGAATTAATGGTGGCAATATTGAACGATTTTTTATACATTAATAAAGCACGTTAATAGACAGTCGACATATAGAATATTGTGCTAGAACTGAAGATAATTATCAATCAGGCCGAAACGATTCATCACAGACCCATTTTCAGTAAATCGTCAAATTTGTCTTAAAGGGTTATCCAAAAATTAAAAATCTTACATGAGGTCTCATTTAAAAAAATTGAAAAGCGTAACATTTTGCGAAACGTGGCAACATCGCGTTTTTTAAAGAAATATTTCAAATTTCAAGATAATCTGAAGAAGAGCATTATTTTATGAAAAATATCATGCAGCAAAAAGTTTTGAAAATTTATCTGCTAAGTTGGAAACGGTATATCACAGACACATGTCCAGTATGTCATTGGAAATATCTTTCAAAAGGCTATGTAAAAGTTTATTGAAATATAGGGTGTATCATTTGAAAAAGTGAAATTTGATTTGTCCACCCTGTATATAGTGAAGTGACAACAAAACCAATGCAAAACAAATAAAGATAATTTTATTAAAAACAAACTTTTGTATTTAATTTTTTTTGAAGCTTTTGTAGATTTTGAGATAAGGTATAGGCCCCTCTTAAACGGGCCACCCTGTACAAATCTTTGTGTATCCCGAGCAAAATGAATATGAAAAATCTTTGTGTATCCTGACAGAGGCGAAAAGTCTATGCTATCAATGAGAGGTAACAAATAGAACTGGTTTTTAAAAGATTGCGCTAGATAAAATAGAACACTATAAGAACACTGACCACTCGCCTCTGGGTGCTTGTGAATTGCTGGGATTTCTTCTTGCCTTGATTATCCAACTGATCAAGATTAGCTAAAGTACTTGGAACATTCTATAACAATATCTGGAGTGCACCAGGGTAGACCATCATCATGCCTGTACTATTTGCAATATTTGTAAATGACTTACCAAGCACTTTAAAACAGAAAAGACTCTCGTTTGAGAATGATTTCAAAATAATTGAGCAAAGCAAAGATGATGCACCTATCTATCATTTTTATCAAGTCAGGAAAAAAAGGAAAAACAATTTTGAAAAATTTCGGTTTTTCCCGGAAGTATTCGAAATATCTTAAATATGGAACTGGCATTTCGTTAAGCATTAAATTACGCAACTTTGCCCTAATTTAACGAACCCTGTATCTCTTACCGTTTCCGAGATCCCACTGATGTGGCTCGAATTTGAAACACCCTGTACAGTCAGTTCATTATAATTACTTTTCAGCATTTACCAGAAATCATTCATAACCTAAAGGTGGTTTTTCACTAAATGAACAGTTGAGTTTGTGTTTTTTATGTTTTCTAGAACCTGAAAAACAATAACAAAACTGAAACAAACCGAAAACTCTTGTTTCCATCAAGCAGGACTACCTATTGTTTTCGGTCCTTAATTTTCTATAAAAATTTGATATTTAAGTACTCACTAACCAATTAAGTACAAAATTCCAGACTATGAAAATGAAATCAAGTGAGAAATAAAAAACCAGAAAAACACAACAAGACCTTCTTAATAAAAAACTGACTAAAAACAGACTCGAGTTCCAAAACACATTGAAACTAAATGGTGTATTCGACAAAAGCTGTTTGTTTTGCTCGTTTAGTGGAAAACCACGGTGATACACATCACTAATAACTAGTAACTGTTGAAGCAAATCTCAACCTGTGGAGGCTGATCAACTTGCCGTTTCCAGAAGCCTAGTAGGTACCTACCTATCTAACTTAAAAATAAGACTTTTGGTTGTTGCACATACCACTGTACTAATTCCAAATCTTTGTCAGTCAACAACAGTGCACAGCTACAAATTTAGGTTTTGAATGTCTAGAAAAAGCGATTGTACCTATTTGCACAATTTATTGTTTATTATTCAATGCCAGTGCACCATATATGCATCAAGTCATCTTCTATATCCCTGTCTAAAGATCTTTACACTAGTTTTCAACAGTAGCTCATTTATTCTTAAATTATTCAAATTTTACTTTATACATTCTACAATAATATTTCACTCTAGACATTTTAGTCCTTTCCTGATAAAAATTTGGACAAAAAATCTTTTGGTTTTGGTTCCCAAGTGTCTTTGAAGTATGCCATCATATGGCCTTTTTGTTTCCACATATTTACAGTTTCCATAAGTTCCATTTGGCCCTGAAACAAACAAAAAATAAACTAGAACTTAGTTAAAAGCCTAGTTGGACAGCCCATTACCTTGATTACCAACATATCAACGATTCTCACATCTTTAATGTCTTGATGTTTATTGAATTCCTCTCGGAGTCTATCTCTGAGCTGTTCTACTGATTTTGGCATATCATATTGCTTGACTAGAAGTTCGGAAATACACGGATTATGTTTTGTTATTGAAAAACTATATATATTTTTTTTAAATTGATTACATAAATTTTCAGTTGTGAGGTTATATCATACCTATGTAGGGCAGTTGCCTGAACCAAGCCTTGTATAAACTGACCACCCTTTTTCTGGCTTCTTCTTTATCCAGCGACAAAATAGGTTTGACTTGTTTTATAGTTTGTCTAACAGTTTGTTGTGCCATTTCTTAGAATTTCCTAATTTTTAATAGTTTTTCTTGTGTTGTTTTCTTTTGAAATATCTTGAGGACAAGTATTGACATTTGATGGCCGATTGAGGGTTCACTGTCAAAAATATATCTAGCTCATGGGGCGCGTTCAGATTGAATCGCAGGTGTCACCCGAGCGCGCTCTATCCGTTCAGATTGCTTTGGGTAAAGTAAAATTTACCCAGCCGTTCGATTGTCATTCTCACCTTAAATATTGTCCTAACAAGGTAATCAATTCGTTTTTGTGATTATTTTCATAAAGGACTGAGAGAAGCCACAGGCACCATCATCTACGCTATTTACAAAAGGTGGCCTCTCTCTCTTTTTTGTTTGTCTTGTGCTGTGCTGCTTAATTGATAGCAATCTCTAGCACATCCTCGTCTCCGGAAGAAGAATCGTTCTCATCATTTAGGGTAAGTTTATCAATCAAAGGATAATGGCCGTTTCCACCAACTATATCACAGAGTTTGCTAACCCTGGGTCAACTCTAGCTCTGAGCTAATCACCTAGTTAAGCCGAAAAGTGTTGATCCAAGCTTTTTTAACCCAGAGCTGGCAAACTCTCAAATTCTTCGAAGTTGGCATTAAGCATGCAACGTTGCAGGGTCGCCTTTATCGATTTTTTGACATTTTCTGCTCATGATCTTACTTTTTCATGTTATTTTTTCGATTCCGTGTGAACATATTAGCCGCTTTCCAGTATGCACATTGGCGCGCTCTGGCGCGCTCCAGAGCACCTCGGGGGCGCCACGCACTAGATTTGTACCGTTCCAGTATCATGACGTGAGACGCCCGTCTTAGTGTCAAATATGTCAAATTTTAAAAATAATTATCTGTTTGTTTGTGCAGTTTGTTTTTTTATTTATCATAAATGAAAGAGAATCAAAACTATATTTTTTAAAATGTTCAATCTTGAGATATAACAAGAAATAAATAAATAAATAGCCACCCACGGATGTGACAGCTGACAGGTTAACGCGTACGTACAGCTCGGGGGCTCAACGCCCCGAGTAGCTCCGGGCGTCAAACTTCCGTACTGGAAAGCGGCTATTGTGTTGTTTTGTTTTGGAGTGCGTTCGAAATCACCTTATGCGTCACACCGAGTGCACACTAGCCATGAATAATTCATGGCTGGTGTGCACTCGGTGTTACGCCCAGGGTGATTTCGGACGCACCCTTTAAGAGAAAATAGAGAGTTCTCGTGCTGTCCAAATTTCCAATACCGTAACGTTATTTGACATGACAGTTTTTACGGTATAAGCGTTAGCGGAGCCCGCTACCTAACGTGAGTTAGCGGATACCTTACCGTAACGCTATGCTATGTCAAAATTAGAATACGCGTTTTTTTAGCGGTACCGTATAAACGTAGCGTTTGAGGCACGAGAACTTTCTAATATTTAAAAAAGACACGAACATACGTAATAAACTTTGCTTCACGAGGGTTTATACTTTTTGCCTTCCTTTTTTAACAAATAGAAATTGACTGAAACAAGTCAATGACGTCAAAAGCGTTCGTCGGTTCTTAAGCCAGAACTCATTCATTTTTAATTTGTCGAAAAAATTGGAGCCACGAATAATTCATATCTGGTGTGCACTCGGTGTGACGCCCAGGGTGATTTCGAACGCACCCTTTAATGTGTCATATGAATTAGGCCTAGTACTCATAACTGCGAAATTCGCTCTTTTTTGACATTGCTTCGACAATTTGACGTTTTATGCGTGAATCAAACGTCAAATTGTCCAAGCAATGTCAAAAAAATGCGAAATTCGCGGTTATGAGTACTAGGCTTTAATCTACGACAACTCTTTTTTTTCAAGTTATGAACAAGGTTGTTTAAAACGAGGTTTCCTGATAACTTTTATGACGTCATCTGTATGCCTTTAACATAATGCAAATCCCCATAAGGCACCCCAGATGCGTCATCAAGTTTCCCATTACCAGACAACCTATAAACTTTAGGAACCTTGAGTAATGACGTGTTCGATGTCAATAGTATGAACACTCGTGAAACGATCTGTGTGTACCTGTTTATTGAGAATTCGAGTCTAAGCTCGTTTTGTTCTAGAACAAATAAAATCGTTTCTTTTCGCAAACAAAAACGTGCGAAGAAGTCGTCGTCGTCAAAATCGTCAAAGGGATTTGACCGCAACCTTACGTGCTAGGGGCGCCGCTCATATCCTAGAAATTCTAGAACATCCCAACTATCATCACTGAAATCTAGGTCCTCCATCTCTTCACAATATCAAAATTGACAAAATTTAATCCAATACCACCACTTTTCAAAATAATTCGGATAGAAAACAACAGAAAATTTTTAGGTTAACCCAGGGTCAAATACGCCTACTTGCCGTGAGAGTGCTGGTTAACTTTTTCCTGGAATAACTTTCGAGTTAGCAGTTGACCCTGGATGAATAAACACTTGTCACAACTTTGACCCAATAATAGGTTATCCATAACTCATGGGGTAACCCTCTATTGATAAACCGGCCCTTATGGCCGTTTCCACCAACTATTTTAGGGAAGCCCTAACGATAAGTATTGCCTAAAGTGACATTTCTTCATGGAAAACTGTTAGTTTACGGAATACTTAACGTTAAGGCTTTCCTGAAATAGTTGGTGGGAACCCATTAGTCATTCATCAACATACGAGCTTATGGCTTCTTCCATAATAGTTATTTAACATGTTGATAAAATAAAATACGGCATAAATTTTTAAAGTCACTATACATATATATATAAAGACTAAAGAGTGGGGTTACGAGATTTACGAGAAGAGATTACTCGGAGCTGCTCAATGTCAAAAGCTTGAACGTTCCTTTTAGAAGAGTCGCTCATAGTGCATCCCCCTTTCCCCTGATGCACCAAATTTGCTGGGGTGCAAGAAGCCCTTTTAGGTAATGTTAATATTAGAGAATAATTATAAATATCTGAATTGTATGTTTTGGAGTGACTCCGAAGAGCTCTAGAGCGACACGTTCGGTATAACTCCATGTCTAAAAGGAATGTAACGCTCTGCCACAGCGCTCGCACCGGATTGTACCCGGTATTTTCGATCTAAACGCGCCCAAGGCTGTGAACCGTTTTCACAGCTGGTTAAACTTAAATGGTTTGATTCGGGCTTGAGCACTTCAGTGCAACAAACACTTTTCGAAAGGAATAAGCGCGTAACACCCCGGAGCTGTTCCGGAGCTCCTTTTAGGTGTAAAAGGAATAACACTAATGACAAATACAAGGTACAAAAGACAGATACAAAATACCAAAAAATCGAAATTTTGTATCGTGGCATATAGCAAGTAAATTGTATCTAATAAATAGATAGATATTTATTCTGTGCTATAGCATTGATACAGGTGTTATCATATTTTTGTCTCTTGTCACTTGTACCTTGTGTTGGATTTCGATGCTGAATGAAGTGGACTGTAGTGTCGATAGGAGCTTTTCGCCTTCTTGCACTTAAATTCGTTTCCCTTTAGGTTAAATAATTCGCAACACTTTTTAAATTAATAATTAGGGTTGTATTAAATAACTGACATGTAAAGAAAATAGAAAAAATACGTTTTTTGTAAGAAACGTTGAAAGATTACGGAAAATAAAGATAATGTCCTTTTTGCGTTTCGCCTTTTCGTTGCGGTCGTTGTGTCTGTCTGTCTCGCCCCTGCCGTTGGCTTCGCTGGCTCGGAGTTGGAAGATCCCATTATTTTTAAAGGGGTGAGCGGTAGTCGCTCTTGCGTCATCAGTAGGCGAACAATATGGCGTTCGCGGTCATAATGAGTTAGGACGGCGGAAGGCGCCAACACCTTGTATTTGTGTCTTGTCTTGCTTTCTTTTATTCACCGATGTATCAATCTGAATTCACCATTATGAGACAGCTATTCCGATTTTCCATAGACTGGTCATCGACCGCGAGCTGAAAATGACTTGCCAGTTGGCGGAAGTGAAGTTTCAAAACTGATCCCGTGACCTGTCATCTTTTGCTCGCTGAGGATTGTCCATTTTCATAAAATCGCTTTGAAAATGCAAAAAAAACCCGGCACATCGGCATTATTAGTTCAAATTCGGCATAAACATTATCTTTGATCGTTTTTCCATATTTTGAGTATTTCTTTGTACGAAAAAATAACAGGCTGTTTCTTTGGTTGCCTATCTTCTAAAAAAGGTCTTGCTATGGATTATTTCCCAAAAATAAAAATAACCACGCTAAAAATTGAAAAAATAACTGCACAAAACTTTAGATAATCGATCAAAGAATGTTAATGCCAAAGGACCACGCACGGATCTTATAAGAAAAAATAAATTTCAGGATTGTCATGAAATTGAAATATGTTATGCTTCTCGACCTCCTGAACTTAAGTTCTCGTAGGCCCAAAAAGATCCTATGATTAGTTTCGGAGATACAGGGCCGGGTTAACATACATAATTTTGACAATATGTTGAGTTCAGGAAAATGACATATTCTAGGTTAAAAACGGGTGGAAAAATGCCAGTGATGTCATCTGAAGCTTTGAAAGTTAAAAACTTGTCGAAAAATGCCAAAAATATGTCATTTTTGGTTATGAATTAAACTAATGTACCAGCAGATTCTGGAGATTTTTCTTGTAGGTACTACTTTTTTTTATCGGTCCTGTATCTCCGAAACTAATCATAGGATCTTTTTGGGCCTACGAGAACTTACGTTCAGGAGGTCGAGAAGCATAACATATTCCAATTTCATGACAATCGTGAAATTTATTTTTTCTCATAAGATCCGTGCATGGTCCTTTGAGCCAATTCGATGTGCCGTTTTTTTTTTTGCACCTTCAGAGCGATTTCACGATAACGAGCCTATATTCGCATGTGCATGGGGTGCTGTTGCCACCTTTAATGGCCGTTTGCACCGACCATTTTAAGATTCGTTAAAATGACATTTTTACATGGAGAAATGTCACTTTAACGAATCGTTTAAGCATGCTGCAATTCGGTTGGTATTTTCAAACTTGCTAGTTAATTGATAAAAATAATATAATATTGTTTGTATAAACATGGTTGCGTCAATGCAGGTCAATAATTATTCCATACTGGTCCATTTTATTAATTTTAAAATAAATCCTATGTATTGTTTATGGCTAATTTTGGCTGCTTTTCAACATTTATATTATATTTAACACTTATCGCCAAATGCTTCCTTAAAATGGTCGGTGCAAACGGCCATAATAGGAATTAATTTTATTGAGGGTATTTTTTTAAAACTTGTGTTGTACTAACCCAAACTAACAGTGCTCATCCTCATAATAGGCGTACGTTCGCCAATTCTCGAGTCGGCAGGGTCTGCGAGTGACGTCATCATTATCAGCAGCTCATAGTGGTGATGGAATTGCTATTCGGGCTGTGCTTGTGAGCTAATTTTTTCGTCAAGTTCATGCGTTCAAAGATCCTAGCCATCTTTGATTTACGTTTTTTTTTTGAAGACTTGTCATGAAGGATATACAAGTTTCACAAAGAAGCGATATTGTAGGAAACTAATTTTTGTTTTTTAGTCTGAACATGGCTGCTTTCTATTTGCTTTGTACATGCGGTCGCCATATTAAGGCTAAAATAGTGACATATTCTCATTTAATATTTCCCGTCACTGAAGAAAAAATTGAGTCTCTGTAAGTTTCAAGTATAGACCGTGCGTCGCTACGTATTATTGATTTACTTATCCAATCTTTACAGAATATTATTCTTCGGAAAACGGGTACGATTATAAGCCTAATTCATATAGATATGCTAATCACGAATTGCGAATCCGAATTTCGTTGAAAAACAAATCGGCGAATTTCAGCCCGTTCATATAGACACGAATTTCGCAATTATTCTAGGAATATTTATTTTATTTTTCGATGCCACACTGGAATGTTGGCACCACTATATTTACATGTTTTATTTGGTAAGAGCCTTAAATAATTATTTTATTATTGTTTCTTATGGTTTGTTGCAATTCGCAAGAAAGAAATTTAGGTGCCATAAAACCGCAAGGAGCATAATATATCATAATTTAGTCCAATAAATGAGACCTTGAGAAAAAAGAATAAAATAAAATTACAATTACAAACAATAAAGAAAACACACAGCAAAGTATAACAAACTAAACTACAAGAGTTACAAAGACTGGACAAAAGAAAACAATCCAAAATGAAATGGCGAAAGTCGAAACGTAAACAAAACAACCGAAGGAGCAGAGGACAAAAGCATTTTTGAAATACGCATGCGCTGACATCAAATCCGCAAAGAAATCGCAAAATATCAAACCAATTCCAATTTTCTGATGTCACTTTTTTTTTAAGTGGATTGACCAATAGGAGCGGTTATCGCAATTCGTGATTCGCATCTATAGCTTTGTTCCAATACATCAAGACCGTCACGATTCTGCGTAAAGCCAAAAATATGTGCGTAGAACTCGAAATTCGTATACACAGTAATTTCGAACCCGTTCATGGGACGGTTTTTGACGTGTTGGAACAAACCTTATATGAACTACACTATACTTTTACTTGAGAGGTCGCCAACCTTATAATCACTTTTTTGGCGGGAACGTTAAACTGATAACAAATAATTGAATCAAAAATTTATTTCACAAAAATATTCAATAAAACGGTTTATTACTAGTGAATCGATTAATCATATCAAAAGCCCATTGAGGTTGATCAGTCGGCACCATATGCCCAGCATCTCTAACTAAAATCTCTGTTAAATTTCCAGCTTGTTTAACATATCCTGCAATGTTACCATCAACAATCCATTGGTATCTTAGGGCTGTTTTATAATCGTTTGCGGCACTAAAATCCAATTTTTGGAGATAATTTAGTGTCAATGGATATGCTACTATAATGTCTAATTGACCGTTGTAAATCAATATTTTATAATGACTTAAAAGCTCGGATATCCATGGAGCTACAGTTTCAACAGAATCTTCTATTAAATTTTCTTCTACGATATCATCTCCATGGAAAGTGGCATTTCCCACGTGCATGGCAGCTCGAACATCGTTTCTCTGAACATATTTTCCCATAAGCTTTATTTGAAATTCAATAGGATCGACTGGATACATATAATTGAAATAATTATCAAAGCCTGAAATATTTTTGAAAAACGTTGAATTATTAAAATCACCACCGATTAAAGAATCAAAAAACTTTGCGGCCTTCTCATAATCTTTGTTTTGAATCATATCCAACCCTTGTTGTTCGAGTTTCTTGATTTGATCTCTGTCATTTGCATCGTAGAGACCCAACTGATAAAGATAATCGCCGTATTCAAGCTGATTAATTGGATCTGAATATCCATTACCAATCGTCAGACCTTTCAAATTAATTTTTAATTTTCCACCGGGGTTGTTTTGATGGATTGTATAGGCTATTGCAGGGACGTATTTGCCTCCATAGGATTCTCCACTGATGTAAAAGTCATTAGATTGGATGTTCGGGAACATGGCGAAAAATTGGAGGAGAGCTTCGTAGAGGTCTTGACCCACTTTTGTTTGATTTTGGGCATATCCACCTAAAAAAAAAATCATTTACCTGGCATTTTTTAAAATAAATTCTAAATTCGACCAGCAAGTATTAAAAAAATTATTAAACTCTGTGCATTTAAAATTTACTCACACCCACTCAGGGATGTTCTCCCCGTAATGACTGTTACATTAATCAAAATATTTGACATGCCGTAAATTCTTAAGTTGAATATCCAGGAATATTAATTAGGGGAGTACATGACATTAATCAAAATATTTGTTTGCTGCGAATATTACTGGGATAGCACTCCTTATAATTAGAATTCGAAGAATATCCCAAAGCAGATTGGACCTGTCATTCATATAAAAAACTGGAAGTGAATATTCCCATAACAGTCGTAGAACAATAATTTTAATAATAAGTAATCCAAGAACGGACCATGCAATATGTTTAGATAATATTGAAGAGTCCGTTTCTTGTGTAGGTAGATGCCAACCGCAGATTTCAGGAATGTTTTTATAAGCATGAATGTATTCTTAGGGTTTTTTTGTTAATATTGGAATCTTTCAACTGTGTCATTTCCAGAATAATATTCAAGGAATGTCTTCTCCTATTCGGGAAGCTATGAAAGTTCGACAAAGACTACTGGAATAATTTCGTGCTAATAGATCGCAAATGAATATCTTATACCTACATATAAAGTATTGAAAACTTGAATAAAAATTAGAGAAAGGTCAAGGCTGACACATATTTGCTGAACTACAGATTATTGCGCGCGTGTCATTGGAACCATTAGATGTCATCTCATCATTTTCTCTGCTGACGCCCGCTATTCCCACCTTTTTTTTTAAAATTATGATCTTTACCAAGATACAATAAATACAGTGACCTACAAGAGTAATCTCGTGCGTGGGTTTGGCGCATATGTCCAGTACATTGGGATTTTGGTCCATTGTTTCGCACAACGCTATTTTAGTTTCCTCACGTGGCCCACAACATCGCAGACTCCTGTTTCCCTTCAAATCCCATTTCCCAAATTTTATCTATCAAACTTGGTCTTTTCATCGCCTGCTCCGTTGCTCTCTAGCAGACTCAGAGACGACTTCGCACTGTCTTTCTACGAGTATCACTGTTTCCAGTCAATATTCCGGCCACTGGTAGGTGGCATCTGTTGTGAACTTTCTTTTTGAGCTTTTCCGAGGGATGGTCAGAAAATGTGAACAAGTTTTGCGAAGGACAATTTGTCTGGTGATCTCTGATTTCTGATTATTCTTTTCAAGCTGAATGTCATCCCCTTCCCCTGATGATTGTACTATCAATCTAACTCCAGAGCTGTTGGCAGTCATATTATCCGGAGTCAAGACTTTGGTTTTTGAAGGTTCGTATTGAGGTCTACCACTTCAGAAGCTTCGTTAAGTTCTTGTAACATTATCGTTAGATCATTTGCGTTTCTGCTGAAGAGGACGTCCGCAACGCGAAGGTGGTTGAGACGCTTCTATGTCGACGCCTTTCTTATTCGAGGGATGGACACTTAGACACGTTCCCCAACGCCAGTGGGTAATAATTGGGAAATTGTCACCTTGCCTCGCACAACTGGAAGGTGCCCTACGATCCAATTTTTTTCATCAAACTTCACATGAAGGGAAGCGATTTTGTAAATGTAAAGATTGGAATATGTAAAATGAATACGGGCTCTGTTCATCGCTCTAAGTATTGCCAGACTCTCAATGCAGTCAACGCTACGTGGTAATCTACGGGAGCCATGTGTAGCAATTCACTATACTATTCATTTTTCTATCATCGTGCCCACACCTTCTATATTGTCACAACCCTTATACGTTTCGTCCTAGGACTTCACAACAGAAGCGTGACCTGGGGGCGTAGGTGGGGGTTCAGGTAGAGAGAAACTCGCTAGGTATACAATAATATATGTATTGATAAATAAATATTACCCTATGAAGAATAATAGCATGACGTCTCTTCTCCCAATAAAGATAGTTTGCACTGGACCTAGTCTGCTACGTCCAATACTGCCAGAGGAGCGTTTCCCAATAAAGGTAGTTTGCACTCGGAGGAGACTTAACTAGAGGGGCTTTTCCCAATTGAGGTTCTTCTCACTAGCCTTAGTCTGCCGGTATCTCGGCCCGGTATTTATACTAAATTAATGCTGACTCGCCGACACACTTTAATAAAATTGATGTACGTATTTACCTAAGTAGTTGACAATATCGTCAGTTGTGCTGGAGCCTTTCTGCATCTGGCCTGGCTCGATAAGCTAGTAAAGGTCGAATTTAGGGCTCAGGCGATTTGTTATAATCTTTATCGGTAGTTTGTAGATTATAAGACAACATACTGTCCGGCCATCTCTACATTTTTCACTATTTTCACCTTTCTTGAAAGGCAGGATGAGTCATTTTTTTAGATGTTCTCCTGGAGCTTCACAGTTTTTAGGTTGTTGAAGTGCTGCTTTTAGTTCTCTTATCGATTGGTTTCAGTTCTTTGGACCCTACGCTCAGGAATGATGTTCGTAACTAATCTGGCAGGCTTGGTTCAGTCACTGTTTGGTTTTATAGTTTTCTACAGTAGTAATGCTATATGTCTCGCTGATAATTTTTTCTCGGTCATTTTTCATTTTGTGTATCATCAAGTTCCCTCTTGAATTGATCAACTTGATCCGAAAATCTTATATTTTATGTATTTGCTCTTATATTTCTTGGATGGCCTTTTTCACTTCCTTGATGATATCCTTGTACCTTCTCAAGTCTTTATCTCTGCTTCTTCGTTCCTCAATATATTGGTCTATTTCTAGGCTGTATAGTCAGTTTTCGTCTTTGGAGTAGGTACTGTTGAAAATTTTAACTGAGAATTTGTTCATTTCTATTTGCCGCAAGTCTTTGGTTGGTTCCAATTTCTCGTCCACATTCCTTTTCTTCTTTTCCTTCCAATTGTCCATCATGTTGTTAGCTGATCTTGTTTGCAACTAGATATCTTTTCTCGAGTTCAGTATTCACGTAAGTATTCGCTCTAACCTCCTTTGGTCACTGCCCGTGTTGAAGCGTTTTAGGAAATACATAAAATTTATCGCCTTTCTAACATTGCCATCGGGACTCCTCCAGGTCTAGTTTTTGGTGCTTTCTTCTATAGAGATCGTTATTTGTTAAGCAAGTTTATTATGGTTTTCGTCTGGTTTGGAGTCCCATGACCGAATCAGACAGAAAAGATGGCATATTCGGGCAAGATGGCATGTTTGGACTAAACGGCATATCATATGTAATGGAGAACCCACTGAGGGCAAAATTTCCAAATTTAAATTGAATGTCTACAATGTACTGACGTAATTAGGTATGTAAAGTATGTTTCAAGTGGTAATGATGAAATAATTTGACGAGCGATTTTAGATATTTTAGTAGGTATAGGTAGATAAACATATGTTTTGTTGAAAGAGTACAGAGGTATTATTCTAAACTGAGAGAAAGCAGAAAAACTTACAATTACGCTTATAGCTTATCACAACGAATATGCTTTAACAGTGCGGGCAGGTTTTCTTCAAGGTAGGTAGTTGAAATGTGTATTCATCAAATATATTAATTTAGTAAAAAATTTATTTATCGTTTCGAAAATCTATTTTGTATTTATGGAAATAATGCCTGTATTCATAGGAACTTTAAAAGGTTAGATTCACTCAAATGGGTGTACGTGACTACTATTGTTACTTCAGCAAGCATTATTCAAATTCCACAGCTGTAGAATTTTATCTTGGGCAGACCATATACGTAACCGTCCGGATCTTTGTTTACGGCCAACAAAATCATTTAAAATTTATGAGACGGAAAATATTTCGTTCGATAAAATTTCAGTAAAATCACGAATATAGGTACAGTTTTTGTCAATACCCAACGGAAACGTCCCATCCAATTCAACTGGGATTCATAAATACGAGAAGGAAAGTTTTAAATGTGATAGTTTTCTTTCCTTAGTTGTGGAAGAAAAGGTATGTAAAGTATTCATGTGTTTATGATGAAGCAAAAAAGGGAAGATAATTTTTTTAATCAATAGTGTCCATTGTGGACAAAATATGTAATGGACTGTTCCAGGTAGTTTTTCCGCCTGAAAATAAGCGGAACGGAAGGTAGAAAATGCTATGGACTTTTTAGAAACTAATGAAAATAACGTTTTTTCATTGTTTCTAGATGCGATGCAATCAATAGGTATGCAAGATAGGTACTATGTACATAAAAAGGGAAAGATTTTCGTTATTGTGGTATTGATAAAAAAATAACGGAATCGGTATGTTAAGTTGTCGGCGAATCACAATTTGTTGTTGCTTTTTCAGATCACTGAAAGAAATTTAAATAACTAGACAAGAATGACAGCTACATAAGAGGCATAAGAGTTATTTATGTCATTTGGCCAAGAAGTGGATCTTTTTGTGCTGAGCTCGACGTTTGAAAGCCGACGCGTAGCGCGACTACAATCGAACAAATTAGTGAAAATTATGAATAAACTCTCTAATAAGCTCTTGAGAACTTGGTCGTTGACGCTGCCATCTTGCGAGAAGAATACATAAAATTAATTACAAGAACATATTAGCGCTAATTGACGCTGCTGCCTCTAGCGAGAAAAAATCGAACAAATCACCCCCTACATAAAGATTTTCATGGTCCTAGGAACATAATGGATGACTTCTGTGTCGAGTGTTGACGACAATAAAGTTCAAATTATGGTCCGCTTTACTGACACTCAAAATTACACACTCCCTGTCATAATGAAAGGTTTATACAATAATTATTAAAACTTTCACACAGTGTACTGTTCTTTTCTTCACTTTTTTGTTATTTTTCTGTATTATTTTCATATTTATGATATTGTAGACAATTGGTGCCAGGGCCGTATCTAGGGGGGGGGGGTTTGGGGGTTCAAACCCCCCCCCAAAAAATAATAAAATTCAAAAAATTTGACTTAAAAACAAACAACACTCATTAAATACTTATTTATTTTTTTTATTTTTATTACTAGTGTAACAATTTTTTTTTGCCACTTTGTCTAACGCCCCCCAAAATTTTGGTCTAGATACGGCCCTGATTGGTGCTAAGGAAAAAAATCATTTTCCAATACACAATGGAAAGTAGAGATGAAAACAATCCCATACAAGACATTAAGACATTCATTTTTTTTTATGCTTTTACCACCTAATTTATAATTAGGTATAGGACAATTAAATTTCGCATAAGTCACATCTTTGGTTTTTTTTCAAAGAATGCCGAAAAGTCAATTAATGAAGAATGAAAAAGTTTTGTATTTCGTGCAAAATTCTTTAATAAATATCAGTGCAAAGCGCTTTCGGCCGTGGCCATCATCAGTGCAACCTGAAAGTAAGGAAAAACACTTTCTGAAGATACTGGAAAATTTTGTGAAAGTTTGGAAATTTTGGAAAATTTGAAAAAAAAATTTAAAAAATTTTTGAAAACTATCTGAAATCTTAGAAATTTTATCTATATCAATTTAAATTATTCAACAGGAAGAAATTAATTACTAAAGAAAGTAGATTTACTCACTTCGTCAGGTTTGTACAAAGAGTCTTCTCGTTGAACATATAGGTGTAAAGGAACGAAACATCACATTACAAATTAAAATTAACACATTAAAATATCGGAAGATCTTTGGTTTTTCGCTGGTGCACTATGCAAAGGCTGTGTGCTCTCAAATTACAATCACATCGAAAGATGTTTTTTAATTTAAATTAATACTTCTTTAAATTTGTGGAAGACCAACAGGTGATGAATGATGTGCAGCCATTTTGTGTATGGTTGCACGTTTTTGATTGTGGTTTCCCTTTAGAGTGACACATGACAAGTAAGTCAGTGTAGCTGACAAGAGCGGGAAGTTCGAAAACCAAAAGTTTATAAAATCCAAAACCATTACCAACGTTTTTAAAAAACAATATTTGGAGATTTAAGATGTTTATAGTGTAAAAAATCTGTAGTGTAGATGACGAGCTAGTCCTCCACAATGTGTAGACTACCCTTATATCATCATAGAGTGCAAAAGGATATATGAGTTACGGTTGAAATAAATGAAAATTTTTGAGTAAATAATTGAATAAATTGACTTAGTTAAGATCATCTATTGGTTTTTTTTGATTTAATTTAAAAGACGTCTGTGTAAGGGGATGTAAGATCTATTAAGGTTCACCTGAGTGTTGAGACAAGAGAAGTTGTCCTGAAGTTCATTTCTGATTTCAATGTCCTCCATAAAATCCAAACGGTTGAAGTTTTTAGAGCGAATTTCGTGAAGAATTTTAGAATTTGACCTAGGGCTGAAATTCAATTGAAAAGTCAATTGACAATTAAATTTCGCATAAGTCACATCTTTGGTTTTTTTTAAAGAATGCCGAAGAGTCAGTTGTGGAAATGTTCAAACATTTAGGCAAAGAAGAAGTGGAATCGGATAATGGAATTTGTACTCTTTAGTGTACCTATACCTATCTACTAGAAAAATGTGGACTACTATATTTTATCTTCAAGCGGTCTATAAAATGAACTTTATTGTCGTCAACACTTGACACAGAAGCGATCTATTATGCTCCTAGGACCATAAAGATTTCTATGCATGGTTAAATTTGTTCGTGTTTTCTCGGCAGAGGTAGCAGCGTCAATCAGCGCTATAATGTTCTCGTAATTAATGTTGCGTTTTCTCCTAGCTAGATGGCAGCGTCAACTACCGAGTTCGGGAATTACTCCAAGAACATAATTTATTCATCCATAACTTGCACTAAGTAATATTCTTTGTTTTACATTTTTGTTCAATATTATGGACCTAACGATTGCATAAACAAAGTACGAGCATAAATAAATACGGATTACCAAGCTGACGTGTCTGCTCGTTTGCACGAGCTCCCATGTTCGGAGCAGTTAAATGTGTTCTGAGTGACTTGATATTCATATGAAATTTCAAGTAAACAAATTTGACATTTCGTAAATTTATAGTGGCAGCTGTTTATTTTTCCGAGAATGGATAAAAAAGTAGTGATTAAGTTATGAAAGAAAACATTGCAGTCCCTTGAATAAAATGTTGCATGCCATTCGGCCCCGAATTTATGCTCTGCTCAATTGTAGTTGTGTTCAAACGTTGGGCTCAGCACAAAAACCTTACTCCGTGGACCAATGACAGATATAACTATTGAAAGCTCGTACTAATTGGTTTCTTTGAAATATTTCACATCACCTTTTCTTAACCAAACCAAATCTTTGAACCGCAGCAAAACGAAAGGTATGTTGTTTTTTTTTCCTTCAAAAATCTGAATTGTTATCCACATGGACTTAACCAAAAAATAGGCGTCAAATTCACATTTTATTTGCATCACATTGTCGTGAATTTCGCAACTTGACAGTATCGCAGTTGTTTTGATATCTTGTGTTTATGATACGATTATACGATTTGAGAACCACTCGAGGATGTAACATTTGCATTACGAAAATAACAAATAACATTAATATAAAATGTTAAAAATGTCGCACATTTTAACGAGGTGGTTTAGATGAGACAAAAACATACTTGCATGATTTAAACCTGAGGTGTAAACAGTGTGTGTGAATGTGTAGGTACACAGGATATTGTTACATATATTACGATTAGGTACGGTAACCATTGTAACCAATAATTGTTCTAGTCGAGGCTAATTTTTCGTCAACTTCAAATTATTCTGTCTGCTATGTCATAAACAGTTTTCCTTGTAGGTATGGAAGATATGGGAGGTTAAAAACGGATGAACAGCTACCTACCTACTTTCTGTGACGCGCATGATCTGCGGTAGCTTTATTTGGAAAAGCGCTCAAAGAAAAACTCTCCTTTTTTTCCATACTTATTTGATCAATCTAATCTGATTTCGAAGAGAGTTAAAAAATTCAGCACACACAATGACATGTTTCACAATCATCAATCATTGCCATAAACAATAACTTGAAAACGATTCAAACACCATTCGTCAGGTAAACCTACAGACTTGTCACCAGAGTATCGCTTTTATTCCCGAAACAATAATAGATTTCCAAGATTTTGACAACTTGTCATGTTAACGTTGATGAAACCAGCAACTCCAAACTTCGAGATAATAATCAGGACATAAATACTTTGAAAACAAGGTAACTAATCCCCGCGTAGGGATTAAGGTTGAGGGTTTGGAAATACAGAAATAAAGACCCCAAAAATCGAAAATCGTCGGGTATGAGCATTTTCGTTTTTTTTTTTTTTTGCATAACAGGCGAGACATTTGGGGTGGAAAATTTGTATTTGCCCACGGAGTGTGGTGTATATACATATTTTATTTAGGACAGATTCGAGACGTATCCGGTCAAGGTAAGCTGTATTTGGGAAGCCTATAGATTTTTACAATACAATATAGCGCCTGAAATCGATAAGAATGGCGAGCTGCGTATCCAGAAATGGAATGAATAAACGCTAAAGATATGGATAATTGAGGCCCATGTATTGCAGGGGAGACTGAATACCGTATGGTGATGATGATGATACTTGATAAAATTTTGTATCAATTATTTTTTATTATTAAGTAGTTAAAATTTACTATAATATAATTTGTATAACTGCGTCTGTTGTTGGCACAAACTTGGTCTGTACCTACTAAAAATAATAACTATTCCTTAATTGCCTGAATAAAGAATAAGAAAGGTTATTCCTTATCTAAATAAATACGAGGAGAAAAGTACCTCTCAGATTAGATAAATTTAATTATTTTGAGGCAGTAGTGTGGATATAAGTAAATTCAAGAAATTGCTGATAAACAGAGAGCCCGCTATAATGTTTATGAACATTTCTAGTCATTGAACATGGCTATGAGAGTTGCCGACTGTTTATTTATGGTATCTTAAGACCTATATATTGACAACATTTGCGTTCAACTAGACTTTGGATCATGGAAGCTTTTCTTACAATTTTTTAATATATGTTTTTGAGGTATATTCTTGGGTTTTCCAAATATTAGGACCCATACCTGTTCGGAGCATTGATTAGCGGAAAATATCGTAAATAAAACAGTCAACAGCACTTAGACCAGTGTTAATCAGTTTGGAATTTGTTGAAGATATAAATATGTATCTTACCATCAGTGAAACTGTAGCCAGTTCCAACTGGATTGTCTATGTATATCACAGAATGAGTTTTGGTCCATGAAAACATACGTTCCTTAAGGCCATGTTCAATTTTGACAGAGAAGGGACCGTTTTCAGCAAAGAGCCCTAGAAAACAAGTAGAACTTAAGGTTTTCGAAACATCTGAAAATACATTCCACCCAACTCGAACAGACTAGAAAACTTTCAGGATTAATTTCAGAAACAAATATTTTGAGATATTATCAATATTTCATAGATATAATTATTGTTTCAAAATATACCCCAGTTTCGCCCGATTACTCAAAATTTATACTAGGTTTGCTATGCATAGCTTATAGTTACTATTACTCAGTTACTATTCAACCTGTGTTTTTTTTAAATATTACACCGTTACATTCAAAATACATTTGACTTCTTATACATTCAGTTTATTGATCACTAGGAAACTGTATGATTATTCAAAAACTGTATAGAGAATTGAATTCATACTAACATGGAAAGGTTGAGGGGGTAGTCAGAAACAGGAAAATACCAGTGGCGTACACTCGATCGACCTACGAATGGAGAACCATACGAAAATATACAAAACTGTATGATTATTCAAAAACTGTATATAGGAAACTGTATGATTATTCAAAAACTGTACTAATAGTGAAACTTAGATTTGTAATCTTTGAGGTATCTTCTGATGTTTTTGTGGTCGTGGAATTTGAGGTAATGGTTGGGTTTTAACATCTTCGATATTTGAGATTATATCTATGAGGTTATAGTGCTTGGCAGTGGCTTGGGTATTTGTTGGGACTTCCGAGTGAATTTGATTTTGGTTTCAATGGGCTTTTTGAGCTAGGCTGTGTCGAAAAATATGTCTTTATTTATTTTTTTTCCTCCTTTTCTAGATTAGGTACCGAAAATAGTGGGTCATATTCCTTTTTTTTGTGCTCTTTCCAACGAGTACAATTCATAGCTGTACATTTGAAAAAAAAAGTTGGGGGGCATTTCTACCCTTAAGGGAGGGGTAAACACGAGGAACCGGAAAAGGTATACCGAACGAAAAATAGAGAGATCGATTTTTTTAAAAAATTATTCCAGCAAATAAAGGGAGGCTTTCTAATAATGAACTAATTCCATTTGAAAATTCCACCCTGTATAAAAAGAGACGAAGATAATGACGGATTTGTCTGTAATCGACTACCCTGTATAGGTAAAGTAAGAGTAGGTGTAGGTACCTAGTAACAAAAAAAATTCAAGTGAGTTGACCTATAAATTAATTTTGAGTACACCAATTGGCACACAGATTGTATCACGTTTTGTTTCTCAAAATATTTGACTCTGAAGTAAACCTTAGAATACACTCAGAGCGATGGAAGACAGAACATTATTAGAGGAAAAAAATTATAAAATACCTATAAGACTCGTTGCTCCAGGTCCTCCTTGTAACCAAAGAATAATCGAAGCGTTTTCAGGGTTGATTTCGCTCGGAAAAAACCAAAAAAACATGTTTGAGTTGAACGCCTTATCAACAGTTAAAAATCCTACAATTATAATTGAAAATTGTATACATATTTAGCAAACACTACCTATATGAAAATATTTCACCTGCATAGCTCAGCTTTTTTAAAAATCCATCAAAATAAACTTCAGAAGCCATTCGAGCATCTTCTATTTTTCCTTCTTCAATTAGTGGGGTCAAAATTAAAGGCACCCCAGGGTCGTCTCCACTTTGAATTTGAACTGGTTCAATTTTAGGATAAGGATTGCGGTAAAACCCATTAACTGAAGTTAGCAGCAGCACAAAAAATATTAACGACATTTTATGCTTGAAATTATAAATGATTTAAATAATAAATTTACCGTCCCAGTGTTATTAAACTCCGGACACCGACTGTAATAATAAAATAAAGGTCAACCTATTTATCTCTAAATGACTCAACGTAAGCAGAAATAAGTTATTGTTGATTTTTGTGATTCACAGATGTTATTGTGATTGTTATTTATCAACAAAGGATATTAGGCACTACTATAAATATTAATTAAATAATAAAATTAAAAAAGTTTTTTCAATTTATTTTATATATTATAGGAAATCTTTTATTCAGTCAATCTAGAGCCCATTTCGGTGAGCACCAGTCTTGGAAAATCGAGCAATTTCATTACCAATCTACCAAATTTCCCTTTGGGCCTTTAAATAGGCATCGTCACCATTGAAATTTGAATGTTAGAATTATCATCAACGGATATGGGTCTACAGTTTCTAATTGACCATTAGACAATAATACTCTGAAATGCTTTATTAGTTCTTCTAACCAATAAGCTTCACTTTGAGTTCTGTTAGATATTTCTGAACTTCTCTGTCGGTGATGCCATAACTCAAACAATTACCAACATGAATTTGACGACACATACATAGTTTTTTGAGTAAGATAATCAACAAAATATTCTGGATCTTCTTGAAGCTGTGCTTCACTGCTTGATTCTAAACGTTTGACGCTCCAGAAGCGATCTCTAATTTTATCCATTAATTATTGTGAAGCCAATTCAAGAGCTGAAAATGTAAGCTAATCGCACTAGCAGCAATATTGGAAACAATTAATCCTATGTCAAACAACAAATACGAGCTGAGCCATAATCGCTTTGATATTTGGCATGATTCATTAAATTTTCAATTGCAAAACCCTGGAAGACTAATGCTTTGATCAGTTTCTGGTTTTTTTCTTTCCAAAATCGTGTAAGCTACTATTGCTGTAATACAATGAATTCCATGAAACTCTTTAGAGATAAATTAGAATTTTTTGCAATAACTTCCTGTAGTATAAGTACATCCAGTTCCAGTTGAATGGTCCATATAAATAAGTGGATGATTCCTACTCCAAGAATAATCTCTTTAACTCAAATTAAGATCTTTATCGACAACATAAAGCCAATTTTCAGTAAATAGTGCATATAAACTTGAAGCTTCAGGACCGCCTTGCAACCAAAAAATAATTGGATTCGATTCAGGATCAGTATCGGATAAAAAGGACCAGAAAAATAAGTAAAGTATGAACTGTATCTATAGTGAAAACACCAGATATTTTTTAAATATTTTTATCTCGACCAATAAAATGTGTTTGAGTTATAGCATATTTTCTGTTAAACCTTGTTCGGAAGGGTTGATTATTATGGTTGTCTTAGGTAGGTATTTGGGGCCAAGAAAATCTGTTTTTTGATCTGCACTGACATATTAAACAATCTTTATCAAGTATTTAAAAGAGAATTTGAAAAACCAAAATTACATACCCTTCACGATTTTTTTCACACATTTCGATTTTCAATTTACTAATAAATAGGTACCTAATTGATATTTAAAGTGGTTAACTTACTTGACAATCTACTGATCAATCCCTAGGTTACATCTTGTTGGCGTACTAGATGTTAGATGTTACTGAACATTTGGTTTTGTTTGTGTTGATGATCATATTGAATTGTTTTGCTGTTTGATTGGAGGAGGAGAGTAGTTTATGTAGGTCGTTCTCTGAGTCTTTTTGTAGTCTGCTATTTTAGACAGTGACTAACTAGATCGTCTTGCCTTATCCCTGTACGCATTTGTATTTCTTCAATTAATTCATGTACGTATCACATATACAATCATTCTACCAAGGCATTCTTGTATATTAGCTTTATAAATCTCTGATTTACTTCCCTTTCTCGAATTATTCTGGTGGTCGAGAGCAACAGGCACAATAAATCCATTTAACATACAGGAAATTCACAGCTTCAGAGGAAGCAAATAAATGTATAAATAAATCATCTGTGGCAAAATATTTGATATACCATTCAGAAATAATGTAAGCCAGTTTTCCACATAGAAACTTTGACATTGGTCCAGATTTCATCTCTATGTGAAATAATAAGACACGCTGCCGGAGCCACTAGTAATTAGCTGGAAGAACAAAACATTCAAGGCTTAGACTGGGCTTCTAGATCTCATTGGGTATGCTCGACATATGCTTCAGAGAAGGGGGGACCAGATTTTATTTCAAGACCTATATTAGTTGACTTAATTCTTTCAGTAGTCCTGGTATAAAATTGTCAAGTAAGATTTGGACATTCTGAAGCTAAGATTATAGACTAGGTGCCACAAATACCAAAGAAGTCACATTCCATAGAACCTTTTCTTTCACGTTTCCATAAACATACCTGCCTACATTTAGGAAAAAAAATAATTATAATTACATTTTGCATTTGCAGATTTCATGATACACGGCCAACTAAGCTTAAACAAAGCAAAAAAATATTATTAAAAACCTACCTATCTATATTTTAAGCATGTGTGTAACACTCAGCATTATAACGTAAAGGAAAGTCTCATATAATTGTAATATTAATCATTTTGGGAAAAATTAGCTCTTAATAAATAGTCTAAAATGTGTGATTAATTCTAACCGCTATTTCAATTGGTGATTAATAATAGGTCAATAATTGCATGACATCTCCGCAATAATCCCTCAATTGATTGACAAATAACCCTTTAAGCGGATTTACTATACTACTTGAGCTACGATTAATGGAATTCTATTAGCATACCAATAATACTCAAACAAATAAATATGATTAGGTTAGGGTGGGCAGTTCAAATTTGTTGGAGAGAATTAACTGGGCCCAATTATTTATGTTTTATCTTTCCGCCTAGACAATTTATACTTCCCATAAGCGTTTGAGAACTTGGTAATAATTTATTTGGCTAGATAAGGTTGCCTATGCTAGTACTTACTTGTGAATGGCTGCAGAAGAACGATTCTATGGTAGCAATTAATCATCTTAAATAAGCTTATGACTTGGTTTTTCATTTTACAGTATTAATTTGAATAATTGTTTTTTTATAATTCAAAGGCCTGAAGAAAGCGATTATTATAATTATAATTATTGGTGCTTGCTGAGCTGAGCGAAAAGAGGGTGCAACTGGCAAATATCTTCTTGAAAAATATAACTACTGAAGTTAATGAAAGCACTAATATCATAAATAGGAGTAGTAAATCCACTCATCAAAATAGTCTAGGGAACAAGAAATATATGTCTTTTAATTTTAAGACAGAACAACTTTTTTTCAAAGATAACCTGGGTATTATTCATCAAACAAATGCTATCTAATTTACCATATCGGTGAATGTGAATGACATAAAACAAACCATTTGCGTCCCTGAAGGATAGTTAAAAAATGTGTTATTGAATTTACCGAAAGATATTCTGTTTATTTCACGAATTGAATTACGCTTAGGGTTTGTCATGAAACGCATATGCCTAGCTAACAATAATTGCCAATTATTATTTGAGCATGCACGTCAGACATTTTCGTTTCAAACTATAAGTGTGCATCTCTCAGTTACTCAAAGCTCAAGTACAATTTTATTAAAAATCGGACTTTGTTAACGATTTGGGAATATCCAGTCCCGCCAAAATAAATCGCCTTATGGTGGAAGATCAACATATGCTTGCATAGCATTTCATCGGTTAAAATCTGTTTCCACCTTTAATCGCTCTTTTCTCAGAGAACAGACTTGTTGGAAGATGCTTTGCTTATCATATCAAACTATGTAGTTCTGATATGACGGAGCTAGTGCGCACTGCGGAGAAAGTCGTCGAATAAAACATTAGCCGTATCCCGGTCACAGGGCTTCGGAGTCGTGCGCATCGCATTATTGTCAGTTTCAGCCAGCGTTCCACCCAGCCCAGCTGATCAACGATCAACTGATTATTTATTTATTGTTGGTTTAAGTTTTAAGTCTCAATGTTATCGTGATCTGAAAATATGTACTGTCTGCCCTGCCCTTCCAGAAAAATTGACAATTTATAAGAAAAAATAAAATTCAGGCTCTAGGTTTCATGTTCATTTTTTGAAAACCTAAATTTCGTTTTTTTTTTTATTTTAATGTTTTTGATTTTTTAGCACGAATAGCTTCTTTCTTTTAGACAGAAAATGCAGACTCACCCAAACTAACCTGTCCATCTAGTGGGATCTAGTCCTCAGAAGTTACCATTTTATTTAAAAAAAAAACAAGTTAATTTAGCTTAGAGCATAGCGTCTCTTGAGCGCGCTTTTTTTAAAAAATAAAATGCTAATTTACAAGGACTTAGATAGCTCTAGACGGACTGGTTATTTTGGGTAAGTCTGCATTTTCTGTCTAGAAGGAGAAGGCCTCAAGGCCTGCTCAAAATGAACATAAAGATTATGTTATCAATCCACCAATCTTGAATCTAGTGAAGATATTCCGTGTGCCAATCGCGGACCTTTAAAAAATAAAATAAAAGGTCCGCCACTTGCGGATTTATATAAAATATGTTAGTTTCACTACTCGCGGATCTTTGCTTTGTTTGTTGTTTGTAAAATTGCATCCAGTTCCTCATCCTTTTTTTTTTCATAGATGAATAAATCTCCCAGCGGAACGGAAGATATAGATGAGTAACAATTTATGAAGAAAACACCATTAATATCATTATATCATAACTAGCATAACAATACAAGCAAAGATGTACAAAGTTAATGGTTACATATTTAGACTGCCAACATCTCTCAAGTTTTGTATAATTATTTTCAAAGCTCAACATAAAGATTACTAAACTACGCGTCAATCGAACTCGAACACCCCAATTTTTGGTCACTTTTTGAAAAGCTATAACTCAAAATCTAGCAGGCCGATTTTGTTCAAATTTTCAGGAGTGAAAGGATGCTCAAATTGCTATTTAATTTCCAGTTCTTAACAGATTTCCGGCCACCTGCTAAAAGATAGGGTAAACATAAGTTGGCGATTTTTGTGCGAAAGTTTGGGTTTACCCCATTCTGCTGGAGGGAGGGTTAAGTAGATTTTTGGTATGCAGTTTAGAAGAGTAGTACCTTAGTAACTCGGGACGTTTTTAAAATT